CCCCCCCCCCCCTGCCATTAAGCTAAATCCTTATCAGATCATTGTTGCCTTTTAGAGAGTAATCTGTTCTCATCTATTTTGTTTATTAGTGATCTGAAAAAGATCAGGTCACTTTATGAATTGTGGGTGATCTGATAAGGTTTTACTTAGCTACGCATCAGAGTTTGACTCTGATAATTGACAGAACTTTATACTGGGTATTGCTGACTTTTATTTTTATTTTTTTTTAAAGTCAGTACATACCTTGGTAAATTGTCATGGTATTACTGGACCTCTGTGGTTTATTGTTAAATCAGTGTCCTGTGATACTGTCCCATTGTTGCGCTTGATGTTCCTGATACAGGTAAGGAAATAGTTTGTCATTTCTGCTATGAATACATAGAGAGAGTTCAGTATTGTCTCTGTTAGATTTGTTTTTATTACATTGACAGAATTCAACCAGCGTTCCCCATTGTGTAAATAAACAAATTTGCTGAATAAAGTGAAAGTCTTAAATTCATATGTTTAAGTAAATTTTTTTAGTACACTTCTATAAACAGCTATAAGAATGACAATGCACATTATTAAATTCAAAATTATAGTGGTATTTTTTTAAGTTTGCTTTAAACTATTGTGGCTGCTCCTACCTATAATGCAAAATTACACACAGTTAAAAATCCCTGCGGTTGTGAGTGTTTTTGATGGCTGTTGCTTTTTTCATGAATGTCAGGATTTATTCTTGACAGAAACATATTTCAGCTGTAGTATCATGTTTAAACAGCTGTTTGGCTTACTGCACCCAGACCAATACTTTGATAGCTACTCCCCTTCAGTTTACCCCATAATATAATATGTTGTGTAAGTTAAGATCTTTACCATATAATGAATTGACAGATCCAAAAGGAATTAAAAAAAAAAAAAAAAAAAAAAAACCCTGGAAGACTGGATGGGCTAGCACACTTGAACTCCAAAGCAGAATGTGAGACTTAAATACATTGTTTCAGCCAGAAAGCAACTGTTATTCGTATATGAGATCTTTGAATGTTATCCATTTATATATACAGGTTTTATTTTGAAAAATGAAACTACAGATTTAAAACTTTATATAAAAAAATCCCCTTTTTGTATATAACTCTACTACCAAAATCTGGATTGCTATAGCTCCAGTTCTAAAAACTGTCTTTTTCCTGTCAGTGTGTGACATCTGTAGTAAACATAAACTGAAAGATATCAGTAGTTGCCTGAATATTTGAATGTTTGCTGGACAAAATTGGAAATAATTTCTTATACTCCCAACAGATGTTTCTGTAGATTTGGCAAATTAAATGTGGGAGCAAGTGGAATGTATCACCGAAAGCAATGTTCAGTGTGCTTTGTATGGAACTTGGGATTGGGGACAGGTTGGTGTGTGTTGCTTTGTCCAGTATGTCAAGATCAATGTGAAGACAGCAAAATACCTACACTATTACTGTACTTAAATTTGTCTTTATATATTGTGTTACAAAAGAGGGTTGCTTGATGCATAGAAACAAGCTGAAACCAAATCATGTACGTGACCTGTTGGCAAGAGCAGGCTGTATTTAAAGTTCAACTGATACCTGTGTTTCTAAAACTGAAAACATCCCCTGTTCCCTTATGAGAAACAAGCTATTAAAAGTCAATACTGAAACAGACCTATGCATTTTTGTTTGCTCTCCTCTTCAAAAGGCAAGAAGCCATGTTCTCCTGCACGCAGCTGTGTTATTAGGCACTTTGCTCTTCATTGCTAATTTGCTGTTAAGTAATGGCATTTGTTTTCTACGTGTGTAAGTTTCTGACTTAGGTTTACAATTAAAGGAGTTTTATTTCCTTCCTATTACATTTTTAGGACTGCTGTGTGCACAAAGTATCGAATCAGATCCTTTCAACATCTCCCACTTACTTGCATTTTCTTGTCCCCACCATCAGAAACAGGCTACATATTTTGTTCTTTTTGGGGCAAAAATTCACTTTGGAAAACCACCGTATCTTTATTTTCTCTGGTAGGTAGAGTTTTATAGACTTCATGTGGGATGGGCTTCAAATTTGAAGTCCTTCACATTTGATTCTGGCATTTTTTAAAGAAAATTACTGCCGAACTTCAGGCATGCTGCTGATTTATAGGATAGGCAGAATTGGGGGCAGGGAAAGAATCAATGTAAGGTGAGAAGGGGAAATGTTCCATCTTCCCGTGCTGCACCTCATTTGACAGGTATCAGGTATGGCAAAATGCAGAGTGACGTTTGGGTAGTGATTAAACAGTGTTACTGCACGTCTCTGAGGGTATCACTGTACATGGAGAACTTGCTGAAATTTGTGAGTATTGGGTGGTTATTTTATTACAGCCTGAATTATCAGCTTCAGTTTTGGATAGAGAATTTCGAGTGGGGGGAGGGGGAGAAGTCATGGAGATGGAGGTAAGTTGTTGTTTTTGTTGTCACCTGCCTTGAACAGTTTTTGTTTCCCTTGCTTGATAACCAAAGGTAATCTCGGCCTCTAGTGCGTGTCTCTCAGGTTATGACCCCTGTTCATAACCATCTCAGGGAATTAATATAATACCGAACAACGCGTTTGCCTGGCAGATGCAAGAAGACATTGCAGGCAGTATTCTAGCAGTATGCCGTATTTTGGAATGGAAAGAAGTTACTACGGAGGTTTGTTAAATCACCCTTTGAACTCACCTTGTTCATTATCGTCGCTTTTTTCAAGTGCCAGTGCAAAGCTGGCTGCTGTGGAAGGGAGTGCAGAGCAGAGAGCTGGGTGAGATGATGGAGCTGTGGGCATCCCAATGCCAATCCCAGTCCGTGGTTGCTAATCACGGGAAGATTCCTCTCAGTATGTCTTACTCAAGCACCAATACGTCGTCATTATGTTCCTGTCTGGCTTTTAAGAAGACATGTTTACCTTCCTAATCTCCCTTTTTCCCTGGCGTTTGTGCCTCAGGCTCTCGCACTTCGCCCGCACCTCGGTCCCTGCCGATGTCGGGTTAGTAAACCCCTCTTCCTGACGCCTGAGTGTGTCCTTGTAAAGCTGTGTGGGTATTTCCGTGCTGTTCCTAGGGGACCGGAGCACTCGCTGTTTGCACACAGTGATATCCAGTAGCGGGTGCCTCGCCAGGGCATCTTTGTGGAGTATTGGGGACTGTGTTGTGGCTTGGTGGAAGGACAAAGATTAGCTCGCTAGGGCCTCGGTGAGAACTCAGATAAAATTCAAATAAGATCTAGCAAATCTAACAGAGACAATACTGAACTCTTCATTTTACACTGCACAGATGCTCGTCTCAAAAAGAAAATGCAAAGTCGTGGGTGTGCTTAGGTACTTTCCACAGAACAGAAAAAAAAAGGAGTTGGAAGTATCTGTCTGGTTCAATTTTAGCCCAAAAGCCTGGTCTAGCTGGAGTCGAATCAAGCTGTTTTCACGCACCTGGATGTAAACCCGTGCGCGCTGGTGCCAGCACCACCACATGCTTGTTCCTCAGCCTCAGCTCCCGCCTCAGTGTTTTGTGCCATTGTCCAATGTCACGAACTTCCCTGGTAGCCACCAGAGGAGCGCGGCGCCTCAGCTGACATCTCTGCAGTCGACCTAACGCTCCCGGCACCCTGGCTGGACTGACACGCGTGGCCAAAGGCTGTGCCGGAGCCGCGGCCGGCTCTGCGCGAGGAGGCCGAGAGCCTGTTCCAAGGCCCATCCTGCTGCACCTGTTCCCTGGCTTTATTCTGCCGAGCACCCACCTCACCCCGCGGGCCGTGAAAAATAAATGAATAAAATCTCGTTTTCACTGGGTGCTACTGAGCAGTCTATTTAAAAATAAGTCAAAAAAAAAGTGTGACTGAAAGAATAGTTAGATATAGAGTAACTTTTGGAAGGGATTTTTTTGACATGGTTGCTTGAAATTATATTTAGGAGAAGCCTAGCTCAATTTTCTTTTTTCTTTTTTTTTTTTTTTAAAAAAAAAGCTGGTTAACGAAATTAGAAGAAGATAAGTTAGCGTATGCATAGTGTGTTTATATATATATATATATTTGCTCTGCCATAAATACAGAAAAAATGCATTGTTACAGTATGAATGACACCATTGTAGGAGCAGTTTCAAGTATCCAGCACTCTTGGCCTTTTGTGTAAACAATAAATGATCCGCTTAAATCAGTAAGTATCAATTGCCCTATCGTTTGTCTTTACTAAATTTGGCAGAAATTGCATCTGTTGCATTGTACCTTTTCCATTTACAAATTGGCAATTTTTCAAGCAACGGCAAACTCAGGTGGGCTTTTCCGCTAAACGGAAATAAATGTTTATGCCTCCTATATTCTCCTCATTCCCGGTGTTTAGCCTGATGTCTAAAAGAGGCTTGCAGTGTGGGGGGCCCAATCCTGATCAAAGCGAATAAGCGGGCCTTTTATCCCGGGTTTCACAGGGACAATATCTATGTAGTTCTTATGTTGTTGTCACAAGGAAGCCAGACCGGTTATTCTGGGATAAATTCTGAGTTTTTGTTATTATTATTATTATTTTACTTTATTTTGCTGTGTGGCTGGGCAGAGGAGGAGAAATAAAGGTTTAAGAAGCGCAAATCGCAGACTCCTGCTTCTTTTTCTGTTTCTCCTGAAGTTAAGGACACCCGAGAGCTCTCACCTGCTTCACGGCTCTCCGTCCGTCCGTCCGTCCCTCCTCGCGCGTGGGCAGCTCGCGCTGCAGGGGGACCCAGCACCGGCTCCCCACACACCGCAGCGGTAACAGCCGCGGCCGCAGCCTCTGCCTCGCTCCTTCATGTTCGTGTTTCGCCTTGATCTCTTTTACCCCTGCCCCAGGCCGCCCCCCAACCCCGCGCTCGCGTTTCCCGCTTTGCTCGGAGGCGG